TTCACGCACGTTCAGATTTAGTTGGACTTGTCTGCACATCACAGTGTGCTTTGCTGAGGAGCAGACTGAAGGGTTGAACGCGTTGTTACTGAATGACTGGTCACTTAGCAGGTCATATCTCAAGAATCCAGTGGCATTGCCATATACAGTTAGTTTTCTTCACAGCTTAGTTCACGTTCAGATTTAGTTGGACTTGTCTGCACATCACAGTGTGCTTTGCTGAGGAGCAGACTGAAGGGTTGAACGCGTTGTTACTGAATGACTGGTCACTTAGCAGGTCATATCTCAACAATCCAGTGGCACTTATTGCCATATAAAGTATACATATGGCTCACGTAAAGATCCTTTTTATGTCTGAACTATTCTATGTCGTCTTGTGCTCAACTAGGCCGCGCGGAATACGTGTGTTCTTCATAAATTTTTTGGGTCTGCAAAATTTGTGAAAATTAAACTTTCTGTCTAAAAGTGGTAGTTGAATTGGACTGCAGGTAGGCTACTTAGCTAGAGGCCTATACAATGACACGACAACGTATTTACACGTTTGGGGTTTTATTTTATTGTTGCAAACAGTAGACCTACTCTATTAAAAACTGGATAAGGAAATTCCACAACAACGCTGCTAAACTAACCATTTTTGTTACGCTTGGTTATTAGACGCTGAAGCTTAACAACATGAATAAAATCAAATCCACCTTCATAAAAGCATATGGCTATACCATTAAAAATATGACTTGTAACATGGAGGCCATTTAACCGTGTGCACTGGTTAGGCTTCCCCCTTTATCTCCCACGTTCTCTCCCACAGTCACGTGTCTAGCACATCCAATCCAGTCTCTGCAGTGATTCAATTTATCAGAGGTCTGTAGTTCACAGCGAAGTCAAGTAGTTAGTTACTTGATTTCAACGGATTCTGCTTTTGTGTCAGTTTCATTGTGGGTGTATCTGTTCGGCTGGGCTCTCTTTGCTTGTTTTTGTTATGTCGAGATTGGGGACACTGAGTTACTACGCTGACTCACACATTCCACACGAGAATGACGATCATTTGGCACCGAGGTTCTCATCTGGACCCGTGGTCCAGCAGCAGGCTCGGGAACTGGCGCTACTTGAATATGGCGAACAGGAGCAGTACACTTTCCAAGCCAAATCATCAATTTTTGGTGCGTCATGGAGTCCCATGCCCGTGCAGCCCCCAGGCACATCTGTCGCCTACCACCCATACATTCATCACCCATGCTCAACAGGAGAAACCGATGGAGCATCCGTGCGTTCCTGGGCGTTAGAACCGCTGCCTGCCCTGTCTTTCACGGGATTATCCACAGATACACACCATGATATAAAACTTGAACCACTGGTTGGGAGTGGTGAGTGCACCACGCATACATTACTTGTGGCCGAGACTGACAACAATACGACCCAAGCAGAGAGGAAGGTACCGGACGATGCGCTTTCCAACGGATCACAGGATGAGAAAGCTCCAGCAGAAAGGAAGGCGGATCTAGACCCAAGTAAGTGCAACTCAATTTATATCAGAATGTATGTGAATATGTAGGACAGGCTTCAGGTAGGCTACCTTTACCTTAACAGATGAATTCAATAGGCGTCATTTGTATATAATATAAAAATTATAATCCATAAAAAAGCTAGTCTTTTGTGAGAGACGTCAACAATTGCCTGTTTATTGTAGTTAAACATTCCTATATTGTACAGTATTTTCAGTAGGTTATAAGGAAGCCTAAAGGTTTTCTTACTAGGCCTTTCTTTCTTTTTCCGTTCTGTGGGTGGCAATAATCTGCATTTGCATTTGCCAGCATATATGCAAGTTTCAGTGGAATGTGTCCAGTAATTAAAAATGCCACATATTTGCAGTATAATTAATCATTATAGACTATAGACTGCATGTCATGTAACATATAACAAGGCTTCTCTGAAGTGCTGCTCTACACATTACATTTGATTAAATGTTATGTAAAAGACAATGCACAATTGTTGCCATTAAACATACAATCTGGATTTTTGAGCATTTTTTCCCCTTATAGACAGTAAAGCCCTTGTTTATCTCTCATTCAAGGATGCAAAAATTGACAGTAGGAAGAAAATTATAGCTTGCACATAAGATTTTCTATCATATAAAATCCACCCGCAGCCCAGATGCATGCAGTCCGTGATTGTGCTTTCCAATTTCAGCATATCAAGATTGTATCATAGACTCTTCTTTCTTCTCGCGCGCTGCTCATAAAATGGCCGCAGTATTTTTCAAGTGGCAACATGACTAGCTCTCTCTCTCCGACCCTTCTTGCAGATAACCCTGCGTCCAACTGGCTGCATGCGAAGTCCACTAGGAAAAAGCGCTGTCCATACACTAAGCATCAAACTCTTGAGCTGGAGAAAGAATTTCTGTTTAATATGTACCTCTCACGCGACCGTAGATATGAACTGGCAAGACTCCTAAATCTCACCGAGAGACAAATCAAAATTTGGTTCCAAAACCGTAGGATGAAGATGAAGAAATGCAATAAAGATCGTCCAAAAGACATTTAAAAAATGGAAAACTATAAATGCACTCTGCAGTGGATGAAGTTATTTGGTTCGTGCGAAGGTGTTTGTGAATTAGCCTTTTCCCTCATGCACAACCACGGTAGATTATTATTGATAGCCTACATTTTGTAATGTTAGATGTACATTGCACAAACCTTTTATCGAAGGGTATGCTTGTATATATTATTGTGTCTTTGTATACAGCTTGTATGGTAATAGTTCTCTTATTTGGTTTCCTTGTTGTAGGTCTAGCATTTCGCTTTCTGTAGGCCTACATTTTAAATGTTAATTTTTTTTTAACGTTTTTAAAGCACCAGTTCACGATTTCAGGGAAATGGGTTCTGCGATGTGAAATGCTGATGATATGCATGAATTTCAGATTTTTTTTTTTAATTCAAAAATGACTTGTAGCGTAATGTATCAATGTTTAATGTGACTACCTAGATGTATTTGAACTACCTATGTATTAAGATTAATTTATGTTGTGTTGTTTGTCATTGACATATTTCAGTGAATTTTGTAACATTTACGTGCTTGTAATGTTATATGTGAACACACAAATTGCATACGCCAATACCTCAAATCAACAGTTTCAGTCGTTTTCAAATTAAATTCCACTTGTGTACATGAATAAATTTATGATAAATAGTAAATTTCGTTAAGACTCTCTATACCAGTGGTCTGGGGAAATATAAACGAAATTAATACTTTTTTCCTGGGTTTCATATGGGTTACACTCTAACGTGCAAATCTGCGAAGTTGGCATTAATAATTGCAATCCTGTATTTCTGTGCTATGCAGCACATAAAGTTCCAGACTCATGAAAGACTCGACATAGGCTAAATAAATCGCTCCTGAACGAGGCTGACAATGACTACAATCCCATGGTATTTTTACGCTATACAACGAGAAATAATTTACCGCCCTCCAAACAGTTTTACACTTCTCGTGCTCTCGAGCTCCGTTATCTTGCAACCCACTGTTTAGTGTCCTGTTAACGGCCCGGATGCCGTTCATCCGAATAAATAAAGCTTAGTTTGATGCTCGCAGACAGGCCTGCACATTCTATTTGTGCCTTGCCCCTGCAAACGATATTAGTGGCCGTGCGGCAATAAACCACAATCACAGTCTTAACTGTTTATGGGGTGCAAAGCGATTGAGGACGGAACTGGAACGACTTTTTGGACGCCCAATGCCTATATTACAATTACAGTAACACATTATATATTTTATTAAAAAAATTAAACATAAAAAACTATTTTGTTAGTTTTCATTGTATTATTATTATTATTATTTTGTATGTTTCTATGTAATAAACACACAAAATATAGGAAAACAGAAAGAAAAAAGAAAGAAAGAAAAACTGCTGCAGACCAAATCTTCAAAGGCTCTATCCCAGACAGCATCGTAAAATGGAGCTCAGCCCCACTGTCTGTTTTTTTCTCTGCTAATTACTTTATTACTCCTCAGCAACAATTAAAACGTTGCAGAACCGATCACCCATTTGTTGCCTCGTCATGCATAAAGTGACAACGGAAACACAACTTATTGACGCATTGTACTTTTTCTTGCGTCCAATATAATTGCTGCTTTGCATTTCTGGCCATTTAAACTTCAACATGTAAAAGAAACTGAAGCGTTGTTTTAAAGTGAGTATTTGGCCTACATTACTTGAATGTTTAAGATAGCGCATAAAACACTCTTGCTTTTTAATCCTTAAAGACGAATCACAAAAGTGCACTGGTTTTGGCTAAATGGCAAGCCTAGGAAGGGTGCTTCTTCCCCCCAACGCTTCACATTTTGGATGTGGATCTTATTTAACACACCTGATTCATCAGTGAATCAGCTCATTAATAATGTGCTTCATGATCTACATTTGGTGTGTCCGATGAGTGAGGCATCCAAATTGGGCAGTGTTGTGGGGCCTCCTTGAGCAGAATTGAGAATGTATTTTAACAAACAGACGGGCCAAATGAGCCACTACCATTAGTATCCAGCAGGTGGAGACAACGGACTGTGTCCTACAGTAACCTCACTTAATGAGGGCCAGCCACAAACAAAACCTATTTACTGATGCAAATATTTCAGCTAACCTTCCATGAATGATGAATGTGCACAATTGTCAATTCGAATATAGTCGCTGGTTAGGCCTTTGTGAAAACTGAACTGTCATTTCATTTGGTTTTTAGGTTTTAGTTTAAGCCTAAATGCAAGGCATTCATGTTGAATTGATGATGATACTAATGCAAATGGCTCATCATGAGCACTTCCATGGAATTTTATAGCCTATACATATGTTAGCTTTTGAATTTTCAAACCATTAAAACATGCATAAATGATTGACATTTGGGAAATTATGAATTATCACTACACACATCACTTCTACAGAAGTAGCCTACAGCATAAAACTTCTTTTGAATGCTGTGTTGAGCTGAGATACCAAAATCTTTGTCTGACCACTATAACCTTACCTAAAATTACAAACAGGTGACCTGACATCATGTAGTTTCTTCCAATTCCAGCAATAAATCTGGATCAAACAAAATGTCTACATGAGGGCTTTATAATGTGCTTCTCAAGGGCCACCTTGCTGCAGAGTTCAGCTCAAATGTGCTCCAACACACATGCCTGGAAGTTTCTATTCATCCTAAATACCTTGGCTTGTTAAACTTTGCAGGAGGTGCAAATTCACCCAGACGCAGGACTGGATGCCCCTGGTTTACATAAACCTATATAAGAAGCATGCACACACTAATGCTCAAGGTAAGAACAAGACAGGTGGTTATTCATTCCAGAAATTTGCTTGTGAGTCAATATGAGACAAACGAGTCGTGCCTGCAATTCAAAGCATCACCTATGAAGTAGAACTTAAGAACAAATATAGAGGAATCAGGTCCCAATTAAGTGCTAAACAGTGGTCAGAAGGGATGTACTGGATGTTGTATGTATCCAAATGGCGTTAATGAGAATGCTAGAATGAAGTGGAGTGTACTACAAGAAAGAAGAAACTTATAGCTTTGTACCTATTAATAGTTGTCATAATCATGCACAACACAAGGTGGGTCTGATTGCTTTGAGTATCAGGTTGGGGTTAAAGCAGTTAAAAAGATAGATCACCCAAGCATGAAATTATGTCATCATTTACTTACCTTCATGTCATTCCAAACCTGAATGACTTTCAGAAAAATATATTTTGAAGAACACTGGCGTTCAAACAACACTGGACCCCATTAACTTTCAATGTATGACTTAAAAATTCAGGGAGTAATGATGACAAAAATTGTACTTTTGGGTGAAAAGTGCACCAGTAGAAAGAGACAATATTTATGCACAAGCTGCTAAAGATCTCAAAAAGTGGCATAATAGTTTATTTCTTAAAGATATACAGGAATAAATATTTTCTGGCTGTACAAGATTTATGCAAACAGACTTTAACTGAGTTAAGATTACAGGTACAAATTTCAGTGCACTTGCAAATATGATTAAAAAGTAATTGATAATTTAGTTTTAACATTTCACAATGCCTTCATACTGTTTATATTGTGTCATAGATCAAGGTGGAGGGGAAAAGAGCCATTTAAGTAGCACCTTACAGTCTTACTAGTGGTCTGGGGCCCTTGTTAATCCATGTGGTAGCTTACATATATAACAACACTTTTGGGAAAGAGATCACAGTGACAAAGCACCACTTACATACTACTTGGGTCCCACTTAGCCTAGTGTTTCGGGAAACCAGACAGTTGTTAGTCATTTTACTCTTTCACTAAAAAGGGTAAAATCCATTTATGTATCACGTTCCTGTCTATATGTTTTAACTTGTCACACAGGTATGCACGCATCGGAAGCAGTATGTAAAGATAAAGATACACTGCTCTGAGCTGGACTGACGCTTTAACTAACCTCGTATGTTAATTTACGATTGAGTAACGGCTGAACCAGAACTTGAATCGTTGGTTACTAAATTAAAACTAGGTCCGGAACTAAAGCTGAAATTTTGCCAATACATTCAAGAAACAATCCTCAACACGAAAGTAGTGGAAAACATGAAAATTGCTTGTTATTTTCTAAATTTAATAATTCAAACTGATTCGGACTTCAATTTTTTACAAATATTTTAAATCAGCTTCACAACCGCCTACTAGACCTTAGTCAGGTTAGACGCCATATTGAATTTAACGCAAATGAAAACGAGGCTGAGGGATGCAGAGCAGTCTTTACAATGGCACACAATGTATAAAGGTCCTAGATCACGCAATTTTCACTTCTCAAAACTTTCATGGAATATTTGTCTTTGTCTATTGTCTATGGACTACTTTTGTCTATGAGCAATCAGTATTTTGTTAAACAACAGTAGCCTACAATCCATTGAACGCACTATTCTACACAGAAGCTGCAGCCTCGTTTTCATTGCAAAAATTAAATGGGCAATGCCGCTACTCTGACTAATGTCTATATAACACACATTGTGTATTATTGTAAGGGTATCTGCCGTTACTATTTAGCCAAGAGTTGTGCTCCTTTGGTTGGAAACTCATCAGATGCACACAGGGGCAGATTTAGTGATTTGGGGGCCCCAGGCAAAATATAGGAATCGGGCCCTATATATTTGCACACATTTACCTAGCTCAGCCTTGAGGTTCCTTTTTTGTTGTGATGCTTGCTGCTGCAAAATGGTGCCCCACAGTTGTGTCCAATGTTTCTACATTTTTCATGTTAATGGCTTTCTTTCATGTTGTAGACCACGAAATAGCAATTGATTTACAGTTTTCACAAAAACAAAATAAATTATAAAATGATAAACCTCACAATTGAGTCTTTAAACCATTTTTTTAAAGAAAAGTATAAAATATGATTTATAATTTATAATGGGGTTATGTGGGTGAATTTTTGCATTGGTCTGAACAAAAACTGCAGACGGGATTATTAAAAATGCACATTCATTCTCTGCCAGCAGGAAGCGCTTTTGGAACATCGGAAATACAGCGGTTTCCCCGGTAACGACTGTAAACAAAGCAGCACTGCTTCAAAAATGCTACTTCATCAGATAAAATTAAAATGCCACCGAAACTTTTCTGAAGACAGTCGGTTCTCTTCAGAGATTTGTTCATATAAAAACTTTAATTACTGAGAATGAGATATAGCCTATATTGAGGAGGAAAGTCCACTGATGAGTTACCAGCGTAAGCCTGTGTGCCAAAGGCTCTCTAATTCTAAACTTTAAAATACACGTATTTTAGTTATTTTAACTACAAATTTAAATGAAAATTAAAAAAATTATGAAATGGAAATGATACATTTACACACCTAAGGATTATATCAACCAAACAAGTAACTGCGTATGGGTCCTCAACTTGGGTCCTTCTCATAAATTAGTAAGCAGCATTTAAAACAATACACATATAAT